ATAGGAAGTAAAGTGGGTTATCAGTTCTAAGTCCTTCAAGCCTTATTTATATAACTATACATGAAGTAGACATGGTTTTAACAATATATAAGTTTGAAAATTGTAAAAGAAAGGTTTAGTATACAAAAGTGTATTTGATAAAGAGTTTAACATGTAAAATAGTTTGATAAGCAGTTTAAAGTTATTTGTTTGGTAAAACAGTTTAAAGTATGGAAAATTCATTAGTATGCTAGTTATTAATCACATGTGATTGATCTAATAACTACCATGTTTCAACTTGTATTCCCCCCCCCCCCTAATAAAAGCATTTAAAAACATTTAAGAACATTTCAAAGGTTAATTAAGGGGTATGAACTCACCTGTAGTGAGTGGTTTGTACGGAATGTTGGACAAGGTGCTAGGTGACAAGTGGAGACTTGTACACACAATGAGCCTAGTTATCATATAATAAACATATATAACTAATTAGTCAATTTATAAGTAATTAATCAAGTTAAGACACCTTAGGATATGGAAACACTTTGATTCAAGTGTTAATGGTACCAATAGGTTGCATCTACGGGTTGTATGGCATGTCATTTGGGTTTATGGCCAAAGGACCACTCCTTATGGAGTTTACGGCCCATGACCATTTCCCCATGAGTTTATGGCCGTAAACTCATGGTACTAAGTGCCAAAATGTGTTTTGAGGTCTTACAAGTCATGATTGAGCATCCGATGATCAAGTCCAAGAATTAGGAAAGCATTAGGGGAATACTAACACTACCTTGTAGAGTTCACGGCCTAAGGACCATATCCTTATGTGATTACGGTCATAAACTGTGACAACCCGATATTTCGAATCTATGTAATGACCTAAAAAGTCAAGTATTCTAACCACTTTTGATATAATGAAATTAACTTAGAAAATATAATGTGCAAAAGTCTCTATTTGGTTACCTACCATGTTAGATATCATTAAACCGTGAGCGTATATAAAAAGAACGTCCAAATCTGGCTTCGTATGAGAAAGTTATGATTTTTCCAAGTTCGACATAACAATAGACAGCTAAAAACTCGAAACAGAGATTGAGTGAATTTTGGCCGGAATGACCTGAATGAGAATCGAAGGTCTTGACAATGGTTTTTCAATGATAAAAAGTCTGGAAAAAACAGACGTCGGATAAAGAAGTTATGGATTTCTAACGAATTTTCTTACCCTGACCTTTTAAAAATAAATAATAAAAATATTTTCAAAATTTGCCGACGGAGTCTAAACGAAAGTTGTAGAGCGTAGTCTCACCTATGAGTGAATATAAAGAGCATCGAAAATGGAGTTCGTATGAAGACGATATGAATTTTTGAAGTTTATTAAATAATAAAAATATAAATTTTTAAATCAAAATTCGGTATTATCCGAAGGAGGAGTCACCCGGGCCAATCCAAGTTACGCCCAGCGTACACTCGTACACCTAGCGTACTCGAGGACTAGGCCTCGGATCGTCCACGTCGCCCCCTATGCGAGGCTATGCCCCGTCCCATCTGAGCTCCGAGGCAGTCGAGGATCCGGTCACGCATGACGCACGCGTACGCCCAACGTACCGAGGCGGTTCCCAGTCCCTATAAAAGGGATGTGAGGGTTTAGGGGAAAATGCTCATTTCCTCTCATCTTTCTTGCGTTTTTGCCTCGTTTTCCGTGCACGTAATATCCCAAAGCCCCGGTCCCCACTCTTAAGCCTCGAAGGTCGTTTGTGCTCCTGAGATTCCCGAGAATCCCGAGAAAATCCGCTTTCTCGAGTCAAAGTTCTCCTCGGTTTTTATCTCGCCTTCTTCGATCTTTCAAGTGAGTTCATACCCCTATAATCTACACTTTTAAATGTTTTATAAATGCTTTTATATGCTTTTAAAGGGGGGAAATGCTAGAAAAACACTCGATTATAATTATGTGTTATATAAAGTTTCATTATACTCTTTTTATCAAGTGAATCATATGTGATTTATAACTACTATATGGAAACTTTCGTATGCAAAATATATCACGATAACATATTGTCTTCTGAAATGAAATATGTTGTTATATATATATACAAATCAAACACTTTGTTTATACTTTATGTATATGTGTCCATCTTTGACACCAGAAAAGATATACTTTTCATAACAAGGGAGCAATTTCACTAGGGTTTACTATACAAACGAAACACACTTTTGGAAAACTATAATAGGTATAGTTTTACGAGAACATCATAAACTTTTACATACTAGAAACTCTATCTCAAGGAGATACTTTCATATACAAGAACAAACGAACATTTTCATATGTAAATCTGTTTTATACTAAGTTTTGTGAGACATTAAACTTCACGTACGTTCGAGTACACATTTCAAGTCCTATATTATATACCAGAATCCCTTGGAGGGGGAGCATGGTGTTTGTGTATGAATCTGTACGGGATTGACAACCCCGCACCCTGACTGTTAGCTACAATACACTATTTAGGGTGACAAACGTTAGAACATTCCAATGCCTGAAGAACGTTGTGTATAGGTTGTCCTGCTCAATAGCATAGTTGTAAAACTCACATGGAGTATTAAAAACACATTGATTTATGGGGTTTTCAGACGTCTTGGCAACTTTATATGTACATAAATTAGCTACTCTAGGCATGAAACACATTTTTTGTTACAGTTTTGGAACTTCTAAACTGCCACCCACATACGGAAAAACATAAATTTTCTAGAAACAAACATTGGTCTTGATAAAAGGCTACATTTATACTAGTAGAAAATATGGGATTTTCTAGGAACAAGCAAACAAAAACAAACCATTTCATTTTAGTTCATACAAACATTGTCATTATATACTTATGAAACTCACCAGCTTAAATGCTGATCTACTCTTTCAAAATTACTTGTATATCCCAGGGATTCAGTAATTACATGTAACAAACAACTTTTGAAGAAGGGATGCTGCGGCGCCAGTTTAAATTCATATTTTGACATCATATTGTAATTGGTTTTGAACATGTACCTCTCAACAATGTAAACTTTCAATTATATATATGATGGTTATATTGCTTTCTTTACTATATATTCAATTGTTACGGTACTACATGAAGTCATCTGCCCCCGAACGTTTCCGTCGTTCCGGTTTGGCGGTGTGGCATAAACTCCCAAGGGGACTTGTTCTGATTGTTGTTTAAGGTCTTACACACATCTAGGAAGGACCAAGGTTGGCATCCAAGGCTTTGGAAGGAGTTAGGGTCCATTTTGCCACCCTAAAAGGGGTTCACGGCCCAAGAACATCCTTGGTCGTGAACTCCTTCGTTCTTATGATTTTCAAGTGTTATCAAGTTCATATTAAGCACACAAGAAGCTAGGGCAAGTATACTTACAAGATAGAAGCTCGATTGGGTGTTTAAGGTGCAAGAACACTAGTATGTGTTCTTGGTGTTTTGAAGATCTAAGTGAAAATCAAGAATGAATGGATGAAATGATGTATAAACACTAGATGTTATCTTATAACAACAAATCAAGTCGAGAAACACTTACATTTTGGGGAGATCGGATGAAGAACGGTATGATAGTTGAGAGAGAATGGGGAGTAAACTTGAGAGTGGAAGTTGAAAACGAAGGAAATGGAGAGTAAACTCATACTTAAGGCATGAGTTTTCGGCCCTAAGGGAGTTCACGGCCCAAACCCACTTAGAAGCTTGATTACAACAAAGTGATGAGAATGGAACGAAATCCATGGATCACCTTCTCCTTGAACCTTCAATCTCCTTCTTCTTCTTCTTCTTCTTCTTCTTCTTCTTCTTCTTCTTCTTCTTCTTCTTCTTCTTCTAAGCTTCAAGAAAACCCAAGATCTCTCAAAATGGCTTACAAACTCATGGGAGGCACTAGGGTTTCGAGGTTTATGGTCTGGGTAATGGAGGCTGATAATGAGGCTGTTTGAATAAGAGTGAGATCCTTAAATAGGGCACCAAGTCCTGAATTTAGGGTTTCCCAACCGAGACCAGACTCGCCGAGTCGGCCACTTAACCCATGACACGAAACTCGCTTCGACTCGTCGAGTTCTTCATTAGACTCGACGAGTTGACTCATCGACTTATGGTTTTTCCTTTCCTAACTTAACCTCCTGGATTCTGGGTGTTACATGATTATACCAATTTTTTTTTGAAACAACAAATATATGGACATAAAGGGATGATTAACAAGTAGCATAATGGAAGGGCAAAAGTACAATAACAATTTACAAAATAAGATGATTAAAAGAGGAAACACTCCAATCAGCCCAACTACCACAACATTGTGAACTTCTATATTTGTACCAAATCATATGTTGTAAGATAACATTATCAACAATCTTGGAAGGAGATGTGCATAGTTTCTTGTAGGCCTGACAGTCGTGTCGTGTTCGGGTTGTCGTGTCACGGGTTGGCGGGTCAAAATATACAACCCAAACACGACTCATTTAAATATACAGGTCACGGGTTGGCTGGTCACTGTGTGGCGGGTTTGGAACATAAACCCATATATGACCCGCCAACCCATTTATTTATATGGGTTCATATATTGACGGGTTCGTGGGTCAGATTTCATAAATAAAATTGACAATTAAACATGAATAAATTCTTAATGGTTGATGCAAACATATCTGAATAACATTAAAATCTTAAACATCAAAATGAAAATTAAAAACATTTATAGAAACATGTTACCAACTTAGTCTTATATGTTACGACTTATGACCTTAGAACATCCATCACGAGTCAAAATGTCAAAAAAGTCAATGGTCTATAAATCAATGGTATATATTATAAAATACTTATTAAATATTATTAATGGATACATAAATACATTTAAAAATAAAATAATTTTTTTATTAAGAATATAAAGGGGTTGGCGGGTCAACCCGTTAATTTTTTGAGAAACTCATATATGACCCGTTTAATAAATGGGTTGGCAGGTTGAAAAACTAAACCCAAACCTATTTATTTTGTATCGTGTCGCGGGTAGTATTACGAATTGTCAGCCCGGGTAGTATTACGAATTGTCAGCCCTCGTTTCTTGAATACTTTATCATTTCTTGCTAACCAAGTGTACCAAAGTGGAGAAAAGGAAATCACCTTGAGAATCGATCTTTTTCCAAGTGCAGAGACCCAAGCAGCCGCAAATTTTAAAAAATCAGAAATTGATGAAATCTGTCTAATTGGAATTCCACACCATTCACTACTAGAAACAAGGGTTTTTGCGACAGATAAATGCGTTGCTATTTCGTCACTAAAGGTCTTTTGCGGCAGATCTGTGACAGACTTACTGCATAGCCAAATATAACGTGGCTAATGACTTAGCTAGAGATTTAGCGACAGACTTGTTTTTCCTTGCGACGACTTTAGCAACGGAATATCCATCGCAAATTGGTCCATTACTACCTTTATTCAGGACATCAACAACAAAAATATTTCGTCGCTAATCCCTTGCAAACCTCTTTATATGTCTTTTCATATGTCCGTCGCTAATCATTAGCAAATTTTAGATGTGATTTTTTTTTGTTTCCGTAGCTGATCCCTTGCAAATATATAATATTAATTTTTTTTATTACAAATCTAAAACAAAAAAATACTAAAAACATCAAAAAATTATACAATTCCAAATTAAACAATAACAAATTAATACCAAGGGAATCATATAACTATACAATCCAAAACCAAACACTAATATTAAAATACTAAAATCAAATATCAAAATTTAACAAAACATCCAAAAACATCAAATATCAATGTTTACCAAAATGATCAAAATCATCAAATATCAAAGTTTAATTATTGATTTTTATTTCTAAGTATAATGTACCATAATCTCAATTTTGTCTCATATTTTGAGTTTCCACATACATATTCCCCATTGCTTCATATCTTACATTGCATCCGAATGGACCATAATGGAATTGGATTCCGATTCCAGTTAAACCCCATGGAATTAGGCGAACCAAGTTCTACTTACTTTTTCTGCAATGGAATAAGACATGGTATTTGTTGGAAACATGATTTTCTCTTTATGAAGGACATTATGGTCTATTCATTTGAAGCTAAACTAAATACAAGAATAGAATGGAATTGAATTCCGATTTCAACCAAAAAATATATAAAAAAAACATGTTGGTGAAAGAAAATACCATGTTTGCATATTAGTCTTCAGAAATTTCTCTTTTGGGATTTGATCTTTGAGCATTTGTATAGACCATTATGGACCACTGAGAAGGTCATAACTGATCATAACTGCTGGACACAAGAAACCATAAGAAAAAGTGAAAGACTGATCTTAACTGCTGGACACAAAATCTCTCAAATGACAATATAGCCCTCCTGAAACTCCTTTTTGCCAATAAATTCCAGAACCCTAACAATCTGAATAAAAAAACAAAGTTCGGCATAAATCCCTATTAATATTCCTATGTATAATCATCAGTTATTCATCCCTACTAAAATTGAAACTGCAAATACTGATCTGGTCTTCTTTTGGTGCACTTATTTGCACATTAAGACAACGAGAACGAACAACTTCAGTAACCTTTGATGAGCTGTCACAACATAGGATCATACGACAAATATTTAAAATTAAAACGCTCATCAACACAATAACAAATAACATAAACTAACCAATAAATATACTTTCTGAAAGCTGGATTCTTGCTTGTGCAGTTGCAGCATGAGAATTCTCAATGTTTGACCCGATATCATCTGAAAAAACAAACATCATGTAATTTACTTTCCTTAATATAGCATTGCACTTATGTTTTTTTTTTCATTTCAACATTGTACTTTCAAGCTACTTACCAATCATGGCTCCTTGTTCATGAACCAAAACAACAAGATCTTTAAAAATCTCATTTACTTCCCCAATTTGATTCTGTATTTCTCTTTCCTCAATAATCGCCTCATTAAACGCAATCTCATTGTCCAATAACAAAACCTCCTGTCTACACAACACAAAGAAAAAACTTATAAAAATAATGATGACATGGCCATAAAAAGGTAAAAACGGAAGAACAACAACACCTCACCTTCTCGATTCCACAAGAAGTGCACGTTGTTATGAGTTTTTGTCTGAGCATATATCGATTTCATTGGCTGCATAACTGCAAATACAACCATAACAATCTGTTAATTCACAAAGTTAATTCAATTTAGTTCCATATGTGAATTGGACATTTACCTTGAAGGAAGAACAGTTTGAGGAACAAAAGGAGTGTAAATTGTCTCTCTTTCAGCTGAAAGGCATCGAGCTTTATGAAATTCTTTTAGAACTGCTTGAAAATCTTTTGCAAGTTTAGCATCTATAATCTTTTTGCTAGTCTGCATTCCAAAAAAACAAAAATCAATCACCATTAAAGGAGTGTAAATCTTTTTTGATGTGTTTGTGTATGAGAATTGAGAAGGAATCAATTACTTACACTAACTTCAGCACGATGATCTGTTTCACTAGCTTGTTTAAGTTTCTCTGAAGTTTTCAAATGTTCTTCTTAGAGAGTGTTGTGCTTCTCTTGAAAGTTTATCAATCTCATTGAGTACTAATACCGATACAACATATATAAAACACCATGAGCACATTGGTAGGACGAATGTCACACACACACACACAGATATATATATATATATATATATATATATATATATATATATATATATATATATATATATATATATATATAAGAATACTTGTTTGCAAACCTTTGAAACCCTTCTTTCCTTTAACGTTAATTGGTCCGTTCTTTGCCATTTCTGTAATGATTTCTTGAACAATGTACCGATCCTGGAACCCAGCATCACTTAGGTTCAGCTCCACTGGTGGGTGCTTGAAAGAGTCGTCAGTTCCAAACCAACAGTTCTACTTCCAGCCTGCAAATGAGCCATGTTTCAATCTTGTTAGCTACCTCTGCATAATCAGGAATAACAAATAATTCAGAAGGGAGATACTTACATCAACTTTCCAGGTTTTTTTCTCCACTTTCACCTGTAAATTAACCAAATTCAGGAAGAACAGACAGTTTCATCATCCGATTAGAAGGACATAAAATTAAACAAAAGAGAGAAGAGACGGAATTTTAAAAAGACCTTCTCGGTACTAGCCCCAAACATCTTCCTGAGAAGGGCCATAACTAGGGTTTTCTTCAATTCCCCAAACATCTGCCTGAGAAGGGCCATGTTTGCAATTAGCCCTAAACATCTACAATTTTATCGCAATTCCCAGACTCTATGTTTTTATCCAAGCAATTATAACAGATGTTGGTGATGCCACCCTTGAACCACCGAGTAGATATATAGGAATGGCCAATGGCTTCTTAGGTCTGTGATACAAGATGAAAGAGGCAGATGTCAGAAAGATAAAAGTATTGTTTACCTCAATTTTGATGTTCCCATTTGTAACATCAAGATTCTCTGAGTAAACCTATTGACCCCATTTCTCTTTCCAATAGAATTCTGATGCGCCATATCATACCAAAAGCCACCAGGATCTTCAATTGATCTGTTGTATATCTCCAACTCCAAGTACTGAAATGGTGCCCCAAATCATCGATTATATGATGAAAATGTTTATTAAAAAGAACATCGAATAGGTCATTTTCCTTCTTGTGATTAAAGTTCACTTCGTATTTTGAAAATCCAAAGTAGAAGACTTCAAATTAAAATAGGAATTTTGTCCTCTTTGTTCTTGTTAGGTCAAAATATATCCTCATTGAAATAACAGATCTATATGTATATGTAGCCATCAATCCTTTCTCAATAATCAAAACTAGAGTATCACCTTTAGCAAGAACTTATGTATTTGACTCGACATCGACTCTATTTTTCCGACGAAATGAAACAATATATGTAGATGATCTGCTATTGATCAATTTTGAGGATGATACCTTTTGAGGAGAGGGTACGTATGCCTGTTGGGAGAAATCGTGACCGGGAAATACGAGATCGTCCTCCTCGGATGCAAGAGACTCACCGAGTATCACGACATTTAGCTTTCGTATCTTGCCGGCACCCGACGGGTGAGTCGCCATTGACTCCAAATGACGGAGGTGATTAGTTGTGGTCAGATTTTTCCTAGTTGCCATGATCGGAAACGTGACTCGAACGGATTTGAGAGTTAACTCTCCTTCCTCTTCGATTGGAGATTGTTGAGCAGTTATACTAAGAGCTTTGAAGAGACAATAGAGGATTGAACGACACTGGCAGGGAAACGATGAGTCAATGAGGAATGGAGACGAATCGATAGGGAAGCCAAAGAGGATGTGAGAGGGATTTGAGTCGACATAAGGCCAATTAGGGCTTTGGGAAAGATATATGTTGGAATGAAAATAAACCAAGGAACCAGAAAAGAAGAAAAGTGGGGAATGAAAAAACGAGGCGTCAATTTTCTGCGAGCGTTTTTAGCAATCCATCGTTATTCCCTCGCTAAAGGTTTTAATCTGAGACGGATTAACGATGAAATGTTTTTATCTAGATATTATTAGCAGTCAGTCGATGATCCCTCGTTAGTGCCTCTCTAAAGTATGTTAGTCAACATTTTCGTGCATTCCATCGTTGATCCCTTGGTAAGTCGTCGTTGATTAGCTACGGATAGAATCCATAGCTGAATTTGTTGCTAAAGGTCAAGTTTCTAGTAGTGATTTAAACATGACACTCGAGCTTTCTGTGCCATCTTACACGTGAACCAAATATTATCAAACACAAAATTTGAGTAACAAAATTTCACCTTCATCATCATAGTATTTAGCATTTTTAACTTAACATATAATTACATTTTTTATCAACTTAAAATACTTACTGAGTACGTAGTCTTCTTCAACAAAAAATAATTTGTTATTTAATATAATTTTTTTTTACAGGAAGCTAATATTTTCTCTTCAGTGCTCCAAAAAATTACACGGGATGGAGGATAGATAGTTATAATTTTATGTTGTTAATTTCCTTTATATTATTTAGCATCGAAGAAGACAAAATTTGAGTAACAAAATTTCACCTTCATCATCATAGTATTAATTAGCATTTTTAACTTAACATATAATTACATTTTTTATCAACTTAAAATACTTATTGAGTAGGTAGTCTACTTCAACAAAAAATAATCTTTGTTATTTAATATAATTTTTTTTACAGGAAGCTAATATTTTCTCTTAAGTGCTCCAAAAAATTACACAGGATGGAGGATAGATAATTATAATTTTATGTCGTTAATTTTCATTATATTATTTAGCATCGAACAAGAAATCCTTTCTAACAAAAATCTTACTTTACTGATTATTTTTTTGACAAAAGTTGTTCCGAAAGGACTGGGTTCTTTCCCTCCAAAGTTAAATAATATAATAACCAAATTTACCATCGAAGTAGTTGTTGACAAATTAAAAGCGTAGACTTTATAGCAAGTGTTTTGTAAAAGAGAAATTAAATATTAAACCAATAGAAAAAATACTGTATTAAATATGTTGTTCTTATTCTAACTGGTTTGTTTCATTTGTGTAAATAAAGAAGGGGGAAAGTTTCAACCGGTTGACTCAAGGTAAACCATGAATTAAATTTGTCCATTAAATAAACCTCGCAGCACAATTTAGCACAGAATCAGAAATTCACTGAGTTTTGATTATTAATATCCCTCCTTCCATTTTCCACCTTCAATGGTTGCTAATAAAATGCAGCAGTTTCAAGTTTTGCATTTACTTATCCTGATTTCGTTAACAACATTCACAAAAGCACATAACTACATCCAACCGAGATGCGAGCGTAGCTGTGGCCAGGCCAGTATTCGTTTCCCATTTGGGATCGGAATAAACTGTTCTCTGAACGAATGGTTCAACATTGAATGTAACTCACAGAGGGCTTATCTTCCTGCACTCAACAACGTGGAGGTGTTGCAAGGGTTTGGATCCTTAAATTTCATTGTTAATGTCCCCATGATTTCTGATTGCAAGAACCCACTCCAGAACAGCAGTCTTAGTCTTGACCTAAGCACAAGTCCTTTCCGTTATTCCGGAAACAATAACATGTTGATGGTTCAGGGATGTGGCCATGCTGACATCATCATGGAGAACGGTAGTATTGTTACTGGTTGTTCAACAACTTGTCGCAAGGACACTGTAAGTAACATAAAGAATTGCTTCGGTGTGGGTTGTTGCAAAATTACAATTCCTCAAGATCTCCGGTCGTTTACCTTGAATCGAACAGGCTTGGAAAGGCTGGATAGAGATGGAACCTCGTGCGGATCTGTCTTCTTGGCGTATGATCAATATCAAGACAATAATTTTGGTCGCTTATCTATTGTTCAACACCACCTTTTTGTTCCTGTGTCGCTTTCTTTGAAAGGAAATGATACTTCAGTAGGATGCAAAAATATGTGTGGGAATGTCTCGATTCGATATCCTTTCGGGATTGGAAGAAGCTGTTCAGGGAATGAATGGTTCACTATCGATTGTAACTCCTCGACACCATATTTATCGGCCCTCAACAATCTTGAGTTGTTGGATATAAAATCTGAAAGGTTCACTGTTAATGTCCCTATGATTTCGGATTGCGAGAATCCAATCCAGAATAGTAGTCTTGACCTAAACAGAAGTCCGTTTTACTTTTCCAAAAACGGTAACTTATTCGTTGTTGAAGGGTGTGGCAATGGCGTCATCATTAATGAGAATGGAGATATTAGCGGTGGTTGTTCAACTAGTTGTGGCAATGAGAGTGTTAGTGAAAGAAACAACTGTTTTGGCATCGGTTGTTGTGAAACTACAATGACTTATGATCTCAAATCGTTTACCTTGAATCTAACTGAATTGGTAGGATCACATGCTGGAAATGTAAGCTGCAGTAGGTCTGCCTTCTTGGTGGATAAGAATTCATACATGAAAGGAAGATTTTCAAGTCAATCTACTGTGGAGGACCAGAGTTTTGTTCCAGTATCACTGGAATGGGGCTACATGGACGAAGGTGGAAACACAAAAGAAGACAAAAAATGCATAGATTGCGAAGCTAGAGGGGGGTATTGTTACATTAACGAGGGCTTGGACTCGGATGTGACGTGTCTTTATGAGAACAAAATATCACTGGGTGTTATTCTAGGTAAGGCATTCTTGATCTTGTTCTATTTTTAGTTTTTTTTCCTTAAAACATTAACCATTTGTTTTAATGTTTTATAATTAACCTCGTTTAGTTTACAACATTTCATCTATTGTTTAACTAATTTTTAATTTTTTAATTTTTATGATTTTTGAGTAATTAATTATGTAGCTCCTTTTAACGTCTAATATAAAATACTAATTACACAAATATTATATAATCTTATAATCGTTTTTTTATAATTAGAAATCATATACGTTTTTATCAGTTTTGTATTTTTGAAAAAATTCAATGGGGGTGGTTCTTGTGCCAACAAATTATAATCTCAGTGGGGGTGAAGTAAGGGATGGATAAATGGTGGCGGCTAGTCGGTGTGCAGCAGCAGCAAAGGTGATGTTTCATGTGTTTCATGTGTGGCAGTTAAACAAAAAAATTAAGGTTTGCACGATAATAGAAAAATAAAAATTTTAAAAATTTTCGAGAACTTTTTCACTGCAGTTGGAAAAGTCAGGGGTTGTCGGTGCCACCTGTGAGCCCCCTAAATCCACCATTGCTGAATGTAAAATAAAAGTTTGAGACTAGACTACACGCATAATTTTGTCCAAACCTCTATTATGATTTTAATAATTTACTCATAATTATATTAAAATATTAAATATTATGATTTTTACTAATTACATTTATTCAAATGGATATATAAAACAATAACAAAGAAAGTACTTTACATAGATAAAAATATTATTAAAAAGAGAAATTAAATATTCTTCTATCTTTTGTTCTTATAAATCCTCCTATATATTCAAATAATGATATATGTAATACTATTATCCTAAAATATCATTAAATTTTATTAAATGAAAATTAAATGTTATACATATCAATATTTAATTGGGTAGAATGATATGTAGAAATAAAATGTAAAAGAATATTCAATTTCTCTATTAAAAATAGTCAAAACCCTGGTAATGACATGAATATAAAATTCTAAACGATATAAAGATCATTCAATATCTTGACAACATCCGTAACTAACTAATATTATAGATTACCTAATATATCAAATCAATAAAAAATATTATCATTAAAAACTTATCTTAGTAGATAACATTTTTTATAACTAACCATTTACCCCATTTATTTGAAAGATTCTCTTGACCATCCTCTTATGAAGGTGTTTAGCAAAGTTTATGAAAAATCATCAATAATTTTCAATTTATAACTTATAACCTATAAGCTAATAAATTAAGGATTTCTAAACTTATTGATTGTGACTTATTACATGTATGTATGACACATGAATAAGCTGTAACGCCCCAAATTTCAAATATAAATATAACTTAACATAGTCCCAAAACTTCCAAAAATCAAGATTCAAATACTAATGTAATTATTAATAATAATAGCGGAAGCAAATAGAGATTTAATTAAACACTTGGTGCGCTACGTCTTCCTCAAAACTTGTCGCCTTCTTCAAGTCTGAAATTTATCCTTTCCATTCCCGCAGCCACTTGTTACGTTATTTCCTGGGTTGCGTGCATTTAAAGATTCTAATGGGTAAGCCTAGGGCCTAGTGAGTTCGTGGTTTTTATGCATATTGACGTCAATAAAATAAAAATAATGCAACAATTTATCAATATAAATCTTTTCATTTCTTTCCACCCTTGATGACATATTAGGGAACTACTGTCATTTCCAGGGAATGAGTCCCTCCGCCGGGCACAACAAATATGCTTACGGCTAGATAAACAGAGCGTAAGCTCTCCGCCGCGTACTAACATCCTGTACGACGACTAATAATAAGACCGTGTAAATACACCTGTTCCCTATATGTCACCCACCATTTTCACCCTTTTATATGAAATAATTCACAAAATTTCACACAAATATTCATAGCAATAACAACAGTAACATATAATTGCAAATAATTTAGAATCAACTTTTCATGCAAACAACCACAAAATTCACACGAAACTCACCTTGTTGGCGTTAGGTCTTAACCAAAGTTTTTCAC